ACGTTCATGCATCAGTCAAGTCATTTGTGCTGTGCGATCCGCCGATTTAGGAGCTTTCATCGTGCCATTGTGATTTCAGCACGTATTCTCATCTTTAGGGCGAGGCGGTTTATTCCAGCACGTTTTGTTTTAGCATCATGTTTCATATCATATCGTATCATGTTTTGTTTCCAGCATGTTTTGTCTTAGTATCTTCAACGGCTTTTATGAAAAAAATAGTACGTCCAGAACGACTGAATTCTGTTCTGCGCACACCTTACTTTCTGATTCATGTCATATTGTATACGGGAATGAAAGGATGGCGTCGCTTGTGTACGGATTGCGGAAAACTAAGAGGCTTATTGTTATAATTATTTCGAAGCGCTTGCAGGGAAGCTGCTCAATTGGAGTACTAAGCAGAGTTTGTTGCAAGCCCCCCCCCCCCACCCCCAAGCATCTACCGCAAGGTTTGTGAATTCAGGTTATGGGATGCTTTGCCCTTACCCAGCAGGACTGCGTTTGGGGTTGAGCGCGCGGGGGGGGGGCGATTTTGGGGGGGTTTGACTTGCCGTACAGTCCTACAGCATGACATACCTCTGGGATCAGACCGAATCCTCCAGACGGAGGGCCGGTTGCCAGTTAACCTGTTTACGTAGTCAGCCTTTCATGCAATGCACCAGTCCTGGGTCTGGTACCCGGTATCGCCAGATTATGAGTCCAGAATCCTTTCATCCGCCTCGGTTGAAAATATCCTCTCTTAGAATTGCCTGACTTTGGATCGGCCTTATTCGTCGCTACTTAAATGAGGAAGCAATCCAGCCAACCACAAGCCGGTAATTGGGGATGCAGTTGCATCTCCACATTGATCAACTTTGTTTTTAGAATGAAATAATCATGCATACGTGTCCGCCGGAAGTAGCTGGTCTCCAAGCTTGGTATCTGTAGAGTTCGCTGTAATTTGCAAAACATTTCAGTTGTTGATTCTAAGCCGCAAATGAAACGCCAGATGAGTGGAACGTAAGTGCAGTGCATGCGGCTTTAATGATTTGGCGGTCAAAATCGACAGTGGCTCCTGTCATCACAATGATCTCACGCAATATTGCATGGTACTTACACTTAAGGACTTGGCATTTTCGTCCAACGCCTTCACTAACGACATTCATTGTCATACTTTTCCTATGGTCTGCTGGCCAACTGGTCACAATGTTATGAAGTCTGGAGTTCAGCTCTGGAAAATCATAATTATTTACAAATACATGAATATATATATATATATATATATATATATATACATATACATATACATATACATATACATATTGCCTGCAATCGCAATATATATATATATATATATATATATACATACAAATCTCTCTCTCTCTCTCTCTCTCTCTCTCTCTCTCTCTCTCTCTCTCTCTCTCTCTCTCTCTCTCTCTCTCTCTCTCTCTCTCCTCTCTCTCTCTCTCTCTCTCTCTCTCTCTCTCTTACTGCCTAAGATGCAGCTTCGTTAAAAACAAGTAAAAAGACCACCAATGACTCTAATATTATGCATACAGTAGGCCAACACGGGTGTTGCATTCACCTGCAATCGCAATTAGATTAATCATAAATCTGTGCATGTGTACTTAATTATAAAATGTGCATCGACTCACAGTGGATTTTTCAATGCAACATGGCTATTCCATTGTTTTATTGGTTCTACCCGTTCGATAAAAGTTTTTAGTGGCTACCGGAAGTTCAGCGCCGCGTCTGTTTACAGGTATCACTGAATGCCGGTTAAAGCCAGATAAACTCCGATGCTGGTGATGTACATGGCACAGTAAAATGTGCTCGGATTCCTCAACTGCAAATAAAACAAAAACTCCAACAATTTAATATCATTCTTGGCACGATCATCCCAGTCCGGTGAAGCAGAAGCCCGCGGACGCGTCAGCCGTGGCCCACTGCGGCGACGCAGTCGCGTGTGGACAGCGGGTGCGGACCGTGGACCGTTGGACCGCCGGGGCGACCCTGACTGCAACGTGTGCTGATCATCACCCGCCGTGGCAGCACCGGCCGGATCTGACAAGCACCGACCCGGGGCCGGTGCGATGAGTGCGGTCAGCGGTGGGCATGTGTAAAAATGATTGCTGGGCTTTGATAGTAACCTGTGATATTGGGATGGTTTCCTGGTGTATATATATATATAAGTATGGTTACTTTAAGCAATCAAGCAGCTTGTTTACTGTTTGGTAATTCATGTTATAAGTACTTATGGCTGAGCCAGAGCTGACTCACATTCTTTAGCTCCTTTGCCTGCAATTGCCAGGCCCTGGTTCTAATCACTTAAACAAAACCACAGACCCCGGTAACATCCAGCTCCGTTCCTGGTTGTCGCGGGTTTTTCAGCAAGAACAGTTATGACTTTTTTCTTCCTCAAATCTCCACACCATTAGTGCCATACGTTCATTTGCCACAAACGGTCCTGCAGAACATGATGGTAACTGGTAGATGGACAGAAGGAATATTCTAAGCTATTAACGCAATGCATATATTCCGTTAAAATCTGACACAGGTTCATCTGAGCTCCTCCATACCGCAGATTTCACACCTCACACCGACCGCACACCAGCAGTGCGTTTCCACATTGCCATGGAAACTACGCCAGCTGAGCTTTATCTTCGGAAAGACGCATTCTTATCAGCTGATCAATATTTGTTCCATTGTTCCATACCACTACTAGATGGTTTTATATATATATATATATATATATATATATACATCTCTCTCTCTCTTTCTATATATATATATATATATATATATAATATAAATACATCTGAATATATGGTTGCTTAATTTGTCTACCTCTTAGCCACATTCGAAATGTCTAGAAGAACAAAGAGAATAAAATGAAATATCTTAGAATATCTGGAATAGAATATCTACAAGAACCATGCAGAATGCTATAATATTCTCGGAAGAAATCACCTGAAATTTTCATTTCTCTCTTTTGAGCTGCATCTCAAGCTTTGCGGCATATGGTGTGCCCAAAGCCCATTCGTTATCATCAGAAGCTGCATTTCAACACATATAAACGTTGCTCGTGTCTAATATTGTTGTAGATGATTTAAACTTATTATTACACGTTTGATTGTGTGTTTCTTTGGCGTGAGCAATAAGAAGTCAATACAATAGAGCCGTTGTCCCGCATTCTCGCCCGGAGTAATCTCACCACCAGCATCCTTAGTTCCTTGGCGTCATAGGCTCTTTGGGTTTTAGACAAACGAAACATGTCATACTAGCTTCCCTATCTGCGGTCTTGATCCGTGACGCGCGGTGACGTCACATTGGTGTGCGAGATGTTGTGGATGGTTGTTGCGTGATTCGATTAATAATCATTTTGTGCTATTCGTATGCTAACTGATATATATATATATATATATATATATATATATATATATATATATATATAGCATTCATTATTTCTGTGATATACGCACGGAACAGCGGGCCTGTCCTTTCAGGATAACACTAGGGAGCTAACAGCCCAGCTGTTGGCCTAGCAGGTCTGCGTCATGCCTGTATCGGGACAAGTTATTGCTTTTGTTTTTCTGAATTTGTAGTCTTGTAAACATTGAAGAGCAATATATTTGTTTTATAGTATATGATGAACAGCCTGAGCAAAACACCAGCAATGTTCATAGACTTAATGTTTTCGAATTTTCTAGAATAGCGCATATTGCTGGACCTGAAAAAGTGGGGAGTGTGAGCAGCAACTGCTGTGAAGAACTCCTGGGAACATTCTGGTTCTTGCTGATTCCTTGCATAACTTCAGAACGGATCTTGGCTCCTGCTGAAATTGAATCCCCATCTTAATCCTGAGCTGGATCTTGGTTCTAACTGGATCACTATGCATATTCCAGGCTTGGTCTTGGTTCTTGTTGGGCAAGCTGCTTTGATTGTTTTTGAGCCGAGATCACGATCGTCCGCATTGCTGCAGATTTTGTTGCTGAGTACACGTATCTGATCAGCAGCCTCCTTCGCAATAACGGTAGTGCGGCATGGTTAAGTAAAAACCAGTCGACACAGCTTCGTGCTTAATCAAAATTTAAAGCATGTAATTTTCTGCGAAGAGTGAAGTAGCAAATGTGACCTTAATTCTTCAGTATAACTGAACATTGACCAGTAGAAAAAAAGGCGAGCTCACGAATACTCTAATGAATGCGCAGGAGCAAAACTAGGCATTTCAACTGAAAACTGAATGTCTTTGGCGCCGCATTTTACCAACTGCTGTCACATTCCTCATCATCAGCTATCGCCAAGGAGATACAAAGCTTCTTGTGTGCAACATAACGTCATTTCAAAAGCGAACGAACAAAAAGTGTGGGTACGACATGGAGAGGCAACGCGATGAGAAAAGCAGAGCGAAGACGGAGACCGAGATAATGTTAGAGATCTCTCTCTCTCTCTATCTCTCTCTCCCTCTCTCTCAACGTGAGCCACAACGACAGGGGAAAGACTGGCCACAAGAAAATCATAACAAGGAACAGAAGCAACCGGAGTGGCATGCATATAAACAGTGATTCAGGTGGGGACAGAGGTGTCCCGGGTCAGCCAGAGTCCCACAGCTTCAGCAAACTGGGTCGGTCACATGAGAGCGCAGCGGTCAGGTATATCACGAAACGTTTAGGTGTCAGAGGGTGTTTTGCTGGATAAATAGAGCATGTGAGCGGAACACTAAACCTACAGAAACGCGACTTTTTTCAGACAAGGTATAGCATCGAGACACGAGGAGAAGAATTCTCCCGGTAGCTGATCAAAGATAGGATAATTGGAAATGCAATTCGTGACAAATAATTAGCGCGTATTGCCGCCCTGTAAATGAATAAACAACATAAAAGTCATAAATCTAACAAAACCAAGTTGGTTTGGAGAAAAAATGAACAGCCATGAAAATATTAAAGCCGGCAAGGATGAGGTGACGCGGCTGATTTTTACGACCACCGACATCTCAAGTAAAACAAAAATACCAAACTACAACACACACGAATGCCATGTATTCGAGACGGAACATAAAGAAGACCACACCCATATACCCACAAAACTAAGCGGTCTCCTCACGTCAGTCATGAGAATGGGTTTAATTATATTTGTGTTTTTATGAAGTCACTCTAGCCCCGCTGGATCGGAATTCTCTGGTCACTTTGCAGCGTGGTGATATTCCCTGCCTGATATTTGGAGCAACTCAATAAAAGCAGACATCAATAAACCAGCAAGACAAACTTCAAGCGATTACCAATCACAGTACGACCATATTCGTAAGCAAAATCAGTAAACAGCTGGCTGCGAGTCGGTGGTGCCAGGTCAGTCAGGACCACCTACTGCAGCTGTCTTGAGTGAAGGAGCCGTCTCTCCGTCCCTGACGTGCTTCGATTGCACTCCGTGACCTACACTTCCGGCACGAACTCAACCAGCCCGCTGAAGCGTCGAGCGCGGCGGGAACTGCCGCGCGTGCGGAAGTACGCCAGGAGCCGGTTGCCGACCGAGACGAAGGAGCGGCCGGTGAGGCGCGTGTTGCAGTCGGACTCGGCCTCGTCGCGCAGGTTTCCCTCCAGCCGGATCGACATCCGGTCGCGCTTGCAGTTGGGGTAGTCGTTCATCGAGACGTCGGTGATTGTGAGGCGGACGGCGAAACCGCTCGGCGCCGTCATCAGCCAGTAGCAGTCGCGGTTCTTCTCCATCGAGTCAGGGTAACCGGGGGAGGTGACCACGCCGGGCATCGTGATGTTGGCGTTGCCGCACATCGGACCGTAGTAGCTGTAGTCGTCCGGCACATCCTCGCAAAGCTCGCCTTGCACACCGTCTGGGCACACGCACTTGCAGAACTTGTCCACGTAGCCTTCGTTTTGGCAGGCGGGCGGCTCGGTGCAGTGGGCGGCGCATTCGTACGCGATGTTGGTGACTGCGCGGTCACGGTGGGTCATCTTCCCAATGCGCCGTCCCACCAAATGCTCCTGCAACGGGTCCACGGCGCGCAGTGTTGGCTGACCGGTAAAGGAGAAGGCGAACTTGGCGTAGTGCATGATAGATTGTAGGTCGTACTCGACGCCGAGCGTGTCGGCCTTTTCCTTCATATTGAAATTGGCCTCGTACCCCTTCTTGATGTTGTCCCGCATGACCTCGACATGCTGGTCACGGTCGGGTCGTGACTGTTCGTGGAAGAAGCCGAGCGAATGACTGATCTCGTGCGCCACCGTCGTCAGGGAGCCGCAGCCCTTACCGATCGAGACCACCTGGCCGCTGAGCTTTTTGCTCAACTGACCGACGAACGAATAGCAGCCTTTACCGTTGATAAAGCGTAGATGTGGCGCCGTTGCGAAATCGACCGGCTCCTCCCGGAACGTCAAGCAGGTGACGTCCTGCAGGTGATTGATGGCATTTTCGATGCTGCCGCGCCGCTCCTCCGCCTCTGGCGTCACCACGAACGGCACCGCCTCGCCCAGCGGCCACAGCTTGCTCACGAGCGCCCGCCGGTCAACGGCATCCGGCAGCACGATGTCCGACTCGAACAGGGTCAGGCCGTCGTCGGTGAGCGTCGGGTTCAGCTCCTCGGGGTGCACCTGGTCGTCCTCGGCGTCCGGACCAGCGTCCTCGGCGACCAGGTGGCGTCCGACGGCCGACGCCGCCAGGAGCAGGAGCAGACGGACCGCGGCCATGCTCGGCAGAGGTGCGGCGGTCTAGTGCGGACGGCACGCCACAGGCAGACTACAGTCTGACTCAGTGGGTCCACTGCGGCCGGGGCTTATAAAGCGCTGCCTGACCACATGTGTGTGGTCGGGCTCAGGTGTGCGGCGTGCCGCAGATGGGTGCCTTCTGCGCGACCCGGAACGGGACGGGAGCGTCCGACTCTGACGTCACATGCAAGAACAGTTGAAAGGGCATTCGCAAAGCGATCCAAATCAGCGAAGAAATCGACGGAGAGTAGTGAACTCGTTCCAGCATCAGGTATCAGTGTTTGCAGGCGGTTGAGTGGGTGCATGCACGCACTGTGCATGGTGTGGGGGCCGGTGCGGTGAGTGCGATCAGCTGTCGGGGGCCGGTGCGGTGAGTGCGGACAGCTGCTGCGGGCCGGTGCGATGAGTGCGGTCACTTGTACGAGGTTGCGCTTGGCCTTGTTTTTTATGTGGCGGGGTTCAGCCGAATGTGTAGTTTAGATATGACGAGTGGTTATGGATATATATATATATATATATATATATATATATATATATATATATATATATGTCTGTGAACAGATGTTGGGATGACGCTCCACCAAGGTACTCTTGCGATGGCCTGAAGAGAAGCAGTTTTACCAAACAGACGGCACCACATGGGCTCACCACCGGGAGTCCTGTTCGCCGAAGCCTTCGTGTCCTTGGCTGAGAAAGAAGTTCTTGCCGATGATGTCATCAAACTTTATATGCGCGTGCGACATAATGAAGGCATTTTAGTGGACATCAAATATCTTTCTGCTCTGAACACGTTGAAAGCTAAACTAAACTTGTATGAGGACCACATTTGACCATCGTGGGATAGTTTTCCGAAAAGGATAAACTCTCTGGACGTATCAAACAACGCTTCAGATGATACCTTTGCAACCAACGTCCACCGAAATCCTACTGGCGCCGGCGAATGTCTGAACGGGGAGAGCATGCATCCCGACAGGAACAAACCGGTATTATAGGGGCTTGCACCTATCATGCCCTCAAACATTGCTCGGCATGGCCCTTGGACACCAGGAGCTTCAGCAAGTCACGCAAATCCTAGCTAAACACCATTACGACCTGCGTATTGTGGAAGACCAAGTCAGCTCTACCACGTCACAGTATCTGAAACCGAAACCAAAAACAAAATACCGAGATGCGTAATACCTGTTCCTTAAAACATGACGTCCTCTGGTTATAAAGCAGACAAAAAAGCTCTGCAAAGCATTATTCATCACAATTGCCAAACAAAGGATCCCAACGACATCATCAAACTTAACATCTATTACCAGAGTCGAACTGCATTCACCCTGATCATACAAATAGCTCTTCGCATGATTCGGCTCCACTCAAAGAAAGCAACGCCATGCATCACTATAAATACAATATAGGAGACTGTGCGCTCCTATTTAGTAGTGCATGTACTGGCCACACAGCGACACTCTCCAGACGTCTGACAATGCATCCATAGAACGGCGGCCACGCGCACACGCACTGAGACCCAACATAAAACCCACCTGACACACAAATGCTCGACAGCAACACAAAAGTCATCTCACGCTCCATACACAGGGAGACTCGTCGCTCTAGAAGCAATACACGTCCGTAAATGGGACCCTCTTATCAATAGGCCGACAAATGCGCGTAGAACACTCCATCTGTAACGAAGGTCACCAATGGGGCGAGGAGTGCGGGGGTATGGAGTGTTCTACGTGCAGCGGATGAGCGTTGTTATCTGACAATGATAAGTGAATGCAATGCGTAGACATGATGTCTGTATGTGATATGTACCTAGTATGTTTGCGCTATACAGGTATTATAAAAAAGATGCATACAGACATCAGATCCATATCAGAGCAGTCACGAGAGAGCTTGAATTTTACAAATTGGCGACTGTATCGACTTCGTCTTAAACGGCCACTCTGGAATGTGTCCAATGAAGAATGAAACGTCAAGAATTTAGCTTATACCAGGCCATGCACTATGATCGCATATCTCTTCTTTGTTTCGTGACATTTGGTGCTACTTTAAAGGGGACTGGAGAAGAAGGGAGAGTTGTTATAATATTTATTGATAAAATATTAAAAAACGTAATCATTGCTGAGTTCGCCGTGAATTTCAACGAAATATGTGTGTAAATACATGTATGTACGCATATATATATACGCGTATATATCTATATACATATACTCACATATAGCATGAACGAATAGACACACATACACGCGCGCGAGCACACACACACACCTATATGTATATATATGCATATTTATATGTCCACCACGTATCTCAAGATTTTACGTGTATATTGATGCCACGTTTGGCCGGAATGTACTTGCTATAGTGAAGCATGCCTGGAGTGAGCGCAATGCTGGAGGATTTGCGATAGCCATACCCATCGTGGTCAGAAGCAGTAGCACTTCTGCAACGACTCTGTAAAGCTGCAGAGAATCAAGAATTGCACAGGTCGTGGCCAGTTCTCATGACCGGGCCAGCTGCTTTGACTGTTTTTGCGCCGAGGTCACGATCGTCCGTATTGCTGCAGATTTTGTTTTTGAGGACACATAACTGATCAGCAGCCTCCTTTGCAACAACGGTAATGCGGTATCGTTTAGTGAAGACCAGTCGATAAAGGTTCGTGCTTAATTAAAATTTAAGGCATATAATTTCCAGCGAAGAGTTAAGTGGCAAAAGTAACCGTACTTCCTCAGTATAACTGAATATTGACCAGTAGAAAAAAATGCCAGCTCACGATTACTCTAATGAATGCAGAAGGGGCAAAGGGAGCAAAACCACGCAATTCAAATGAAAACTGAATGTCTTTGGCGCCGCATTTTACCAACTGCTGTCACATTCCTCATCATCAGTTTCCGCCAAGGAGATGCAAAGCCTCTTGTGTGCGAGATAACGTCATTTCAAAAGCGAGCGATTAAAAAGTGTAAGTAAAACATGGAGAGGCAGCGCGATGAGAAAGGCAGAGCGAAGACGGAGACAGAGATAATGTGAGAGATCTCTCTCTCTCTCTATCTCTCTCTCTCTCTCTCTCAACGTGAGCCACAACGACAGGGGAAAGACTGGCCACAAGAAAATCATAACAAGGAACAGAAGCAACCGGAGTGGCATGCATATAAACAGTGATTCAGGTGGGGACAGAGGTGTCCCGGGTCAACCAGAGTCCCACAGCTTCAGCAAACTGGGTCGGTCACATGAGAGCGCAGCGGTCAGGTACATCACGAAAGGTTTAGGTGTCAGAGGGTGTTTTGCTGGATAAATAGAGTATGTGAGCGAAACACTAAACCCTCAGAAACGCGATTTTCCAGACAAGGCAGAGCACCGAGATACGAGGAGAAGAATTCTCCCGGTATCTCATCAAAGATAATTGGAAATCTAATTTGAGACAAAGAATTAGCGCGTATTGCTACCTTGTAAATGAATAAACAGCACAAAAATAATAAATCTAGCAAAACCAATTTCGTTTGGAGAAAAGATGAACAGCCATGGAAATAATAATACCGGCAAGGATGAGGTGACGCGGATGATTTTTACATCCACTGACATCTCAGGTAAAAAATACCAAACTGTAACACACATTAATACTATGTGTTTCGGACAAAAGCATAAATAAGACCACACCTATATACCAACAAAACTGAGTGGTTTCCTCACGTCAGGGACGAGAATGGGTTTAATTATATTTGTGTTTTTATGAAGTCACTCTAGCTCCCCTGGGCCGGAATCTTCTGGTCACTTTGCGGCCCGGTGATATTCTTTGCCTGATATTTGGAGCAACTCAATAAAAGCAGACATCAATAAACCAGCAAGACAAACTTCAAGCGATTACCAATCACAGTACGACCATATTCGCAAGCAAAATCAGTAAACAGCTGGCTGCGAGTCGGTGGTGCCAGGTCAGTCAGGACCACCTACTGCAGCTGTCTTGAGTGGAGGAGCCCCTCTCCGTCCCCGACGTGCTTCGATTGCACTCCGTGACCTACACTTCCGGCACGAACTCAACCAGCCCGCTGAAGCGTCGAGCGCGACGGGAACTGCCGCGCGTGCGGAAGTACGCCAGGAGCCGGTTGCCGACCGAGACGAAGGAGCGGCCGGTGAGGCGCGTGCTGCAGTCGCGCTCGGCCTCGTCGCGCAGGTCTCCCTCCAGCCGGATCGACATCCGGTCGCGTTTGCAATTCGGGGGGTAGTCGTTCATCGAGACGTCGGTGATTGTGAGGCGGACGGCGAAACCGCTCGGCGCCGTCACCAGCCAGTAGCAGTGCCGGTTCTTCTCCATCGAGTCAGGGTAGCCGGGGGGAGGTGACCACGCCGGGCATCGTGATGTTGGCGTTGCCGCACATCGGACCGTAGTAGCTGTACTCGTCCGGCAACATTCTCGCAAAGCTCGCCTTGCACACCATCTGGGCACACGCACTTGCAGAACTTGTCCACGTAGTCTTCGTTCTGGCAGGCGGGCGGCTCGGTGTAGTGGGCGGCGCATTCGTACGCGATGTTGGTGATTGCGCAGTCGCGGTGGGTCATCTTCCCAATGCGCCGTCCCACCAAGTGGTCCTGCAACGGGTCCACGGCGCGCAGTGTTGGCTGACCCGTAAAGGATGTGGCGAACTTGGCGTAGTGCATGATGGAGCGTAGGTCGTACTCGACGCCGAGCGGGTCGGCGCTTTCCTTCGTGTTGAAGTTGGCCTCGTAGCCCTTCTTGATGTTGTCCCACATGACCTCGACGTGCTGGTCACGGTCGGGTCGTGACTGTTCGTGGAAGAAGCCGAGCGAATGACTGATCTCGTGCGCCACCGTCGTCAGGGAGCCGCAGCCCTTACCGATCGAGACCACCTGGCCGCTGAGCTTTTTGCCCATCTGACCGACGAACGAATAGCAGCCTTTACCGTTGATAAAGCGTAGATGTGGCGCCGTTGCGAAATCGACCGGCTCCTCCCGGAACGTCAAGCAGGTGACGTCCTGCAGGTGATTGATGGCATTTTCGATGCTGCCGCGCCGCTCCTCCGCCTCTGGCGTCACCACGAACGGCACCGTCTCGCCAAGCGGCCAGCGCTTGCCCATGTGCGCCCGCCGGTCAACGGCATCCGGCAGCACGATGTCCGACTCGAACAGGGTCAGGCCGTCGTCGGTGAGCGTCGGGTTCAGCTCCTCGGGGTGCACCTGGTCGTCCTCGGCGTCCGGACCAGCGTCCTCGGCGACCAGGTGGCGTCCGACGGCCGACGCCGCCAGGAGCAGGAGCAGACGGACCGCGGCCATGCTCGGCAGAGGTGCGGCGGTCTAGTGCGGACGGCACGCGGCAGGCAGACTACAGTCTGGCTCAGTGGGTCCACTGTGGCCGGCGCTTGTAAAGCGCCTCCTGACTGCATGTGTGTGATCGGGCTCAGGTGTGATGTGATGATCAGGAGCCGCAGATGTGTGCCTTCTGCGCGACCCGGGACGGAACGGGAGCGGTTGACTCTGACGTCACATGTAAGAACAGTTGAAAGGGCACTCGCGAAGCGATCCGAATCAGCAAAGAAATCGACGGAGAAAAGTGCACTCGTTCCAGCAGCAGTTCCAGAGGCAGCAGTGCTTGCAGGTGGTGGAGTGGGTGCATGCGCGCCCAGCGCATGGTGACGCACTCGTGGTAAAGATACGCTGTGTGTGCCTCCAAACTTCAGTTCAAGCTCTATAGTTTAACCTGCATTTCAACACTTTTATGTCATTTCACGGATCCGCTTTACCAGCGGCAATCACAAAAAAACAAAGAAGTGTGCTCTGCCAGCGAGAATCGCCAAGCAAACAAGTGTTATTCACGATGCCAGGTATAATCCAATCCGATCAGAACGATTAACGCTGGTGCCTGGGCATCAAGACCGCACGTGGATGAGAGGGACATGTGGCTACAATTTTAGCAAGGTCAATTCATTTCTGTGGTGCCTGAATACCATTCACATTTCGCCAGCAGGTAACAGCGCTGCATGTCCATTGCATGATGTTTACCATCCTATCCCGGATATATTCCCAGTATGACGCAGGTGCACCCTAAGTGTGCAGCCAACTACGTCCCTGCTAACATTATTTTTGATAGCAGGTGTAATGATCCCCGATATGAATGGCTCGGAACGGCAGCACTTGCATTTACTGAAGCATGTGATGACCCACGGCCATGATGAATACCGATGATACCCATGGGGTAAGCCGAAGGCGAAAAGTCGGCGGCGTCCGTTTGAGTCAAGACGTGTGACGTCGAACGAGAAATATGTCTTACTGTGACACAATGCCACCTCGTTCACTTCACCGGCAGAGTGAAGCCACCTTGTTCACTTCAAGGCAGTGACGCCGGCACCTTAGGGTCTTGTGTCACATGACGTCTCCCCAGCAGCATGCTGCGGCGAGATCCTTTTTGCTGTCGACTTGCGTGTGGGGGCGCTTAGTTAATAACCAGTTTAGGGAGTGCTTCACTTTGCGTGGGGTTTTGATCTGAAATAGCCATCTTGAAGATCATTATGTGTAGTTTACAGCGCTGCTCTTTTAAAGGCCCAAATTCGTCAAGTTTTTAAGGTTCACGCCCGAGAAAATATGCAGACTTATTGGGGAAACAATTTCAAGGTCACTCATGCATTCATGACGCCATAATGACGTCAATGAGTTTGTCTAGAGCAGTCTTTTTTCTTAAGAGCATGCCAATAGTTATACGTGAGCTTGTCTCATCATATCGGATGCTGGCTTCAATATCTTAATGTGGAACATTTTGTTTAAGGGAGGAAATTTGCCAGTAACCATAACAGCAGTACGCAATACACGCAGTCGCCAAAACACTATGTGAGGCCGAACAACGTAAAGCACTGAGCACGTATGTGCACAGCAACCTCGTAACTATGAATAATGACCGATTTATAGCAGCGGGGACAGGGGCTCGATAATTACTTAGTGCTGCAGTGTGGTTCGCTCGCTATCCAGTCAGCATGCATACGTCTCTGTCTGTGGCACAAAGTAGTTGTCTGCATTACAAAACCGGCGAGAGACGGATCACGCCGAGTCGAACACGCCTTTGGAGTGTTCGTTTTCTCCACAGCTGGGTACGACTGTTGCCGCGCTTCCCTCTGCCGCATTGGAGGGTCGGGGCTCTATGGCTCGTGAGGCTAGCGCTCCGCCCCCTCTCTCGGCCGGGCCTCTGCACGCACTGTCAGCCGTCCCGGCCTCCAATCTAGCCGACAAAGTGGCCGATTCGCCCGCACGTGAGGCCCCCACCGCGCCCTCTCGGCGGCCGGCGGGGGGTGGGGGGGGGGGGGGGGACATCAGCATTCAGACGTCGGCGCGGCGGTGCGGCCCCGCCGGCCGACCGGGAAATAATCATCCGGGCCCGACCGATTCGCGGAAATAAATCTTGGCCAGCCGCATCTGACGCGTCAATATCGCCGCGTTTGACAGGTGCTTTAATCAATGGTGGCCGTCGATGTCTGGAGCCATGACTCTTTCAGAGTCGCTGTCTGGACCATGATCTCGGGGAGTCTCTGTGGAGCTGCGACACTTTGGTGGCGCTGTCTGGAGCCATGATTCCGCGTTGGTCGCTGTCTGGAACCCTGGCGGTGGGTAGTTCACATCTGAGACCATGACTCTGCGGGCAGTTGCTGTCTGGAGCCATGATTCCGCGTTGGTCGCTGTCTGGAGAGAGGACTAGTTTGTTGTCTCGGACTACGGCTCCGGGTGATAATCGTTGTCTGGTCCCGTGACGCTGGTGTGTGTCACTGTGAGACGATTTCGTGAAGCTGCCAATAATAATGAAATATAGGCGTGATGTTTGCACCAAGAATCATCAGCTGATGTGATGCATCACATTGTCTCACACATGGTTGTTTATTTCTCGAAATGATTGTGGGCGGGTGAGGACAGAGTCGGGAACATCACCGAAAGGAACAGGTATAGCATGCTTGCTGGTATTCGTCCACTTATATTCTGGCTATTCACACGTATCTTTTCTGTTTTTTTTTTTAGACTTGTTTTGTGCGTATCAACAGCGATCACAAATGGAAGCCTGCCAGTTGGCATGGACTTCTTATAACCACACCAGTTGTGTGAGACAGAAAGATTGCGAATGCATCTCTCTTACATATTGAAATATGAAATCTCGTCTGATTTAACATAATGTTTTTAGGCTAGGTGTTCGAATATATTCATGTACTCACAATAATCGAAAGTAACAGTATATGTGGCGATCGCAACGCGGTTACAACAGCGTTCGTGATGCGTCGCAATGACATCGACAAACATATTTTAATTGTTTTGATTCATATACAACAAATCATAAACATTTCACCACACATTAAGAAACTGCGCTGAAATTGGGCAACAGATGCTCCGGACGTGGTCAGTACAAAATGCTGTCAGATAATTCAGTTAAAAAATGGTCCTCAGCCTTTCTACAAACGCGCTTTGGCAAACGCACTTCTGTTGTGAATGCCTTTCCCCACTCACTACAATGGACACATCTTCCTGCTGTCCTTCCATGGAACGCTGTTCCCAGCTGTTGTGACTCTGAACGGAAAGTGAGCCTCATGCGCTTCAGTTTGAACGTGCGGCAAACAGGCCCGTCAGCTCACTGGCATGCGCGACCAAGGCTGGTAGTAACAGCCTTATCAGTTGAGCCTGCTCTTCAGCGACCATGCGGTTCTAGTCCTGCACGCATGCCGCATGCTCGGTGCTGAATGAGCTCAACCATTTTCAGGCAGCCTGACTTCCTCCGGACGGTACCCGCAGTGATCATACTTTTGAAGGTTTGCTATCACCCTGCATAAAATTACTTTTTAGACGCAGCGCCTATGCAGCGCTCACTGCGCCTACAGCAGTGATGCAGTAGAACACATCCGGCAGCACTGGTGATGTGAAAATCTGACGCATGAGCCTCCTTGACATCAGATGCCGATGATAAAATAGCACTAGAATCCCTGTGCACATCTGCACAATCGCATGACGTTGTGATGTCGGTTTTATGACAAAAAAGAACCTAGATTATAGTACCTCCTTCACTGCGGCGTTGAGTAAATCATCAAAATGTACCTGCCCGGGGATGGCTCTGACACTCTGCCATGTTCCAAAGAGCTATTGATCACATAGGTTTTTGATGACTTTCCATTCATTCCGCTGTATGCGAACCACTGGCGCAATAACTAAAGAGATTTCTCCATGACCTTCTTAAGTATGTCTAGATTTCGTAGGTCTCCTGCTACAAGTACTAGACAATTATCCGTGGACTGTACAAGCTGTGCGTCACCAATATGGTGCGTACTTAAATTTTTAATGTGACCGTGCACCCATGTACGGCCCTGGTGCACACTCATCGGGGCGACCACCGCTGTCCAAGTTTTAACTTGTATATTGTGAATGTCGGTGAGGGTAATCGAGCTTCGTGGGCGTTGCTCGTCCTGGAATCTCAGTGCTTTCAACAGCAAGTAGTGGCAGACACGGTCAAATGCCTTTCAAAGCCGAACTGGTCAAATCAGCACTGCCTGGCCAACACCCGTGGTTTAAAGATGCTGCCTGAGATGTTCAGGATTGCTGTCTTGGAACAATAAATCCTACCGAGCCCGTGCTGACCCGAGATATCAGGGAATCCGATGTGAAACACGCTGCAGGCTGCTCGCACATCAGGTTCTTTGTCGGCATAGGCGCTATGGGAGTGAGCGAGGTTGATTTACAGTTGCCCGGTGAGGCTAGATCTGGCAGTCAGCTGCACAAGTGATATCTCCCACTTACATGGCAGCATCTCAGAGGCAAAAACTTTTTGAAGACATGTATTAACGCTGGCATGTGAGCATCGCGGCCAAAAGTGCCGCTGGTGTTCATCGATCCTACAGCACATTTTAGTGCATGTTCGGTTACCTGTCGTAGGTACAGGAACCGACCCACGCTAATGGAGCACGGAAGTCTCGTGTACCTATGGGAGAAGTTGTCAAAAGCTTGTCGTGGATTTTCCCCTTGATGTGAGCGATGAATTCGTTGAACTGGCATACCAGCTCATCTAGAAAATCTGCTAACAAATGTCTCGTCACCGACGATACTACGGCCAAAATGGTGCTCGCTTTCAGGCCTCATCGTCTCCATGCGTCATTGGATGTCATTGCGGCGGTCGCATCGGCTGGCTGGACGCTCCCGACGATCACATTGCCTGTACGTCACGTCGGTGTGACGAGGGGCACAGCGTTGTGCCATGAGCTTATTCATCGCGTCCGACACAGAAGAGAGAAAGAGAGAGAGAGAGAGAGAGAGAGAGAGAG